CGTAAAGATCTTAAAACTGACCCATGACCAACATTTCAACAGAAGTAAACTTAAATACATGAAGAGCTAAAATACACTCACTCTGCACTCTGCAAAACCGAGAGGGTTCACTGAACTCCTTAATGGCATGTCCTAGAATAGTGTTCTTAAGAAAAATTTTTTTAAAAACTATGCTCCATAAAAAATAATTAGCAGCTCCTCCAACAACTGCAGGGTATTTTTATAGCTGTTATCAATTACTTTCTTCTCTTGGGGAAAACATTAGAAGCAAAAACCTGAAATGTGAAGAAATGAGATGAGCTTTAACCTAAAAGCTCAGTGCCTTTTGTTACCATGGGCTCTTGTTTCAGAGTCTGGTCAAATATTAATAATTTCTACCTTCAGTCTGATACATTCAAAAAGAAAAAAGCTATTAATATAATTTAAAATCTAGGGACACTATTAGGAAAAAGTATAAACTAGAAAAGTTTAACATTTTCATATCTGACTCTTTCATAAAACTTTCCTACACAAAACACTTACACAAATGTACAAAGATATACTTTATTTTTTCTTAACAAAGATATACTTTAAAAGATGTTCTCTAAAGCACTGTTCTTACTGTGGAAAAGTGAGGAACAACCCAAATTTCTAACAATAGGAAATTGTTCAAATAACCTGTGATGCAATACTATACTGCCAGAATGCTCTGAATGTATGCTCATGCATACACTCTTAAGTTACTATGTTAAAAATAAAAACCAGTTGAAAGTTGTTTCATATTACCCCATTTGTCATTACAATCACAATAACAAATATATTTTAGTATAGGGAAATTTGGGAGAAGAAACATATACCTATTTACAGCAGTTTCTCTAGAACACAAGCTTACAGTGCACTTTAACTTTCAACATTACATATTTCTGTAATGTTTGAATGTTGAATATGAATATGTTTTGTGTGTATAATCAGAAAAAATAAAGTTTTTTTATATGTTTTATTTTATATTCATTTTCAGAAATACATTGTTTTTGGTTTTTAGATAAAACATGAAACAGACAAAATTCCCTGTACAATACAAAAAAATCAACCTACTGTTGGCCAAAACTTAGCTATCTATTTACATATACAGATAACTCTCTGTAAAAATAAATTCTTCAAGGCTAAACCAACTATGTTTAATTTGCTTCTACCATAGGAAAGTATTATCCAGTTTTGATGAAAGTGTCTCAAAATATTACTATATGGAATCAAGAATTTTATTCAGCTTTGAAGTTACATATCATGATTATTCTAAGGGAACAGATAGGATTCATATCATAATTAAGTAAATAATATAAAAATGCTAAATCCTATACCTGAAAGTTATCTTTTCATTATCTAGAAAAATAAACTTTTATTTTAAGTTAGTGATACAATTAGAAGGGAAGTAGGAGAAAATCTTATGTATAAAGAAAAGGGAAAACAGGGTGTTAGAAATTGTTCTGTTATAGCTCTAAAATATCATCTACCTCTACCTCTCCTTTGGAAGACAGTTGTTTCCTTATTCTCAGAACTTCAAAATTAAGCAATACATATGGATATTGGAAAGGCCCCCTAGCATCTCCCGTTACTAATAGCTTCTAGGGATAAAAGTTTAGCCCAAACTCCAGTAGTTATCATATTCAACGGAGGAACACTGTCAATTCCTGAAAATTGTTGCAGACAAACTGCCAAGTGTCTCTAATTCTAATTTTAAAATACTGCAGAATTAATCTCCAAAAGAAGTATAGATCCTGCAAACTCTGAAACGATTTGAAGCATTTTCATAATGGAAACTCAAGGAATTAGAGATAACTACCCGCTTTTGAATCCACAGTCCTGTAACCTTTTCAAACATTATAAAAACCAGATAAAGGAGAAAACAGAAGTGCCTGGAAAGGTAACTGAGGAATCACAAGCATGGGGGAAATTTTGACCTGCCTGGGGAAAGGCGTGAACTTGCGCTGGGAGTGGTTTGTCTCCACAGTCATGTGACCTTGGTGAAACAATTAAACTCCTATCCCTCAATTTTCTCATCTCCAAAATGAGAAAACTGGGAATTAACAATCTCTGTGATCCCTTTCGGCTGTAAAATTTTGAAAATGAATCTTCATCCTTGCCAAAAGATATCTAAAAACATAATAATAATATATGTATAAATAGTATCAAATATATGGTATAAGGTTAAAAGGTATCTGGCCAAAAACAGCAGACTCCTGCCTAGCCCTTCCTCACCCTTGAGTTCCATTCCCCAAAAGATGCTCCTTCAACTCTTTTAGATGTTTCTTCCTATAATTACTTCCATATTTGTAAATCACATACTTGAATTACTATTTTCTGATTCCCTCCCCTCCAATTTAGACCCTACCAAAAGTTCCTTCAACAACTGGGGCATTTATTCACTCATCCCACCTCCAGGGGTGCAGCTACACTGTTGAAATGGGAAGGATATAAAGATTACATGCACATATATACATGTATATAAGTACATGTTTATATAAGGTCCTGTCCCCAGTGAGCACACATTTTGATAAATGAGAAATAAGATCCCATTTCACAACCAAATACTTCACAAAATGCAGAAGAGAAAAAATTAAAAGCCTGGCCTCTAAATCAGAAATCCTGCATTGGGGTCTGAGTCCACCATATATAGGAACAAAGTATGCACCTACAAGTTCCTTATTTTCTCTGAATCTCATCTGCTTTCCTCATGTGTAATCCAAACATAATAGCACCAGCTATGAAATGGTTAAATCACAAAGCACAAATGTGGTACCTGTGAAAGTACTTTGATGCTCATAAAGCACTATAAACGTGTGACCTTCTGTTATTGTCTTCACTAAGAGATCCCTATAAATGAAGTTATTGGTCACTCCTGAGCACTGTTCTCGTATGTAGGCTTAAAAACTAAGAGTTGGAAGTCGCTGAGAATAAGAGTGAAATAGCTGTAAATTGTGTCCCAAGGCCAGAATCTGAGGGTCCAGCTCTTCAAAGGGCTTATGCATTGCCCTATGAGACAAATATACATAGAATAAAGATCAAGCATATAAGTAAAGATCAGAGAAAGCAATTCTGTTTTATATTTGCAGAGAGAGGAAGCTTCCTTATCATGTTTTCATTTTTAAAGTAATACAAGAAATAATTTCAAAAGTCACTCCTCAGGCAACTCTTCCTTGCTGCTTCTAATACGTACCTCTCTATTTCTACATAATTTGTACATCTGCTTTTTGATTTGCAGAGATAATCTACTGACTTCCTATCACGGTAGAAATAACTTTGCAAAGAAAGTGTTTTGAACCAAACAGGGTAAGTTATTGCGAAGAACTGTCCAGCAACGCATTACTGACACTGTGCTAAAACAGCCCTTTCATTTATGGTCTTCAAAGGCCTACATTAAAAGTGATACAACCATAGGGTCTCTATTTAGAGGTAAGAAGGAAGCTAGTTGGGCAGTTGGGCCAAGATTATTAGACCATTCTAAACCTCTCTCTGAACCTAGTTCAGTGACACTCAGTTTCTCTTGACGTTTCCACCTGCCCCACACAATTTAATCCTGTTCCTAAAACTACAGGACAAATGATAAATGGCACCCCAAACATTATTTATTTCAAGGCAGGCATAGGCACAATTCTTACGAGCTCTGTGGAAAGGGAGTAACTGGAACTAAAAGAAATCAGCCGTTAATTATCAGAAAAGTTATCTAAAGCCAACAAGTATGCTGCATTAATGTAATTAATGGACTGAATCTCCTGCTCAGTTTCTGTCCAGAGAAGACCACTAAAGTTCCCCCAATGCAGACTTCGGTTGTGGTTTGGGCAGTTTCAGGGAAAACATTCTGTCCAGTGCCAGGTGTACAAGTGAACTTGAGGTCAGGCAGGTGATGCTGCCAACCAGGCATGGTACATTAAGGAGAGGAAATCTTTTCTCTCACTAATCAACAGGATAAAGGTGATTATGCAAGAATTATTTTTCAATGACCTACATAATTTCATCAGGGCTGCTATGGCTATTAGCAGAGAGCAGCTGACTTCCTAATGAGATGAATTTGATAGCAGGACCCTTCCAGAGAAGTCAGGGAGTGGGTTCAATCCACAGGGAAGCAACAACTGGTATTCATTGTTTACTGTTACTCCTCACAGCTGTCTCTCCTCTGTTTGAGGGTCCTTCCTTCCACAGGGAATATTCCCCACACCTGGATGGCTAACGCTGCAGCATCTGCTGACTGGTGGAAGCCGGGTCTTTTAAGAATGGATGGATCCAAGTGGGTGGGACAGAGCTGAGCTAATTCATCAGACCTGCCCACGTGATTCGCAAAGTCCCAAGCAAACAAGGCTACCGCTGCCACCGACACCTCGCTCTGGCCAGACTTGAAATAGAACAGCAGCTAGTTCCACTCCTTAGCACAAATGAAATTAACAAGGGACCTTTGTTAAGATTGGAGTCGGCCACACACACCCCATCATCATCATCAGTAACAACCACCACGACTCGAACGCAGTTTCATTAGAGAACTCGATGACACTGAGCAAGAGGCACTCAGCAAGTAAGTCCTCACAACAGAAAAGTGCTGCAAACCTCAGAGTGGCATTGCCTCTGTCTCTTGTGTAAAAAAGAGGTTCTGAGAGGGAAAACTGAGCCCCACATCTCTTCTCCTTGGCCTGTTCCTCCCGTAGGTTCCCGGCTCTCTAGCTCCAGGAACCAACGAAAGGGGTGGAGGGCCCTGGTGCCATCCTCCTCCGTCAAAACAAGCTGGCTCTCCCCCGGGATCAGTCACCAAGTAACGCCCGGTTCCACAGCTCTGGGAGCCACCTCCTCCCGCCCGTGCCTCGGCCTGACACACTGATCTTGTTCGAGGTACTCCCAGCGGGGCCCCCATCCCAATTCCTGCTCCTCCCGCGCAGTCCGAGAATGCAGGGAAGGGACACTTCTCTCACCCCTCCCTTGACCCCTAAAATAAAAGAATGCCTCAGGCGCAAATCTCAGATCCGCATACCACGTACCTGTCAGCGGCCGCGGCTCCTCCTCGCCGCGCGGTGCCGGGCTCTCTAGGACTGTCCGGGAACAATCCAGAAAGTTTGTGCCGCGGTCCTGGGCACCGCCACCCGCGCTGGCTACCTCGAGGAAGGGGCAGCGGGCTCCTCGCCGGGTCCCGACAGTCCGCTCCGCGCCCTGGCCGGCGGCCGCTCGCAGGTCTCGGCCTGGCTCCTCCCCGCCCGGCTCCAACTCAACAGCCGGGCCCGGGAAGAAAGTAGGAGGCTGGAGAAGGTCCGAGCGCAACTTTCTGACGGCGCGTCAGCGGGTACCTGAGCCGCGCGGCTCCCGGGCGTCCCTCTCCTGCCGGTCTCTCCCGCCCTACCCCGCGCCCTCG